TATATATTTTTTTAAATTACTTTATTGATTAGTTAAACATGGGACATAGGCTTGGACGATTTTGGACAATCTTGGACATTGGATATTTTATATAGTGTAGGCACGTTCCATGTACAACACTGCCCGAAGGTTACAGAGATAATTAATTAAATTAATTACTATCAGCTATAATTGAACTGTTGACCTTGTCTGTGGAGGATTAGGCGCCAAACTATATTATATTGCAGATTTTTTATATTATACAAATAAAAATTATATAGTATATTTTAAACTGTTTTAACTTTTAAATATGAATTATTTAATATATATGAAATATTTAATAACTCCAGTTTTTTTTTTTAAAAAAAAAAACAATTACTTTGGGACAATAGAACTATCGAAAGAGCAAGGATAAAGGAAGATGATCTAAGAATTATTATTTTTTTTATATTTAACACCCTAATACGTATATATATTGTATATTTTAATAAGAATATATAGTATAATTTTTATTAGATTGTATAAATTTTCTAGACAATACAATTTTATATTTATATTTATTGAAAAAAATTATTAATTTCTTATAATAAACCATTCTTCATTTTTGGTATTGCTTTGTTGCACTATTGAACAACTATGGACAAATCTTCTTTAGTATAGATATAGTCAAACCTCTATAAATGCAATACCTCTCTAAATGCATGTTTCTGGCCTAGCTATAAGAAATCATTAGTGCTAAATATATGTTCTATATTCTGCAAATGTATATTTACTCAAAAGATTTTCTATATCATACTAACCTCCCTAAATGCATGTAGCCAATTAGAATTCAGTATTAAAGTTGTGTTACACAAGCCTGCAGATCAAACATTAAAAGCTACAATTTGATTGGCTTTCTCTAAATGCATGATTAAGGCTAGTCTGTATATGTTGCATTTATAAAGATTTGACTGTAGCTGATATAGAAATATTATAAGATTATAATATAAAAAAACTCTAACCCTAACTCAACTAACCCTAACTAATTTCAAATTTGCTTAAATTAGTTCAAATATTATGTTTATATATTATAATTTTATAATATTTTTATAGTGACTACCTCTACTAAAAATCAACTAAAATTTTATATGATCTTTAAAAGAAAACTTTAGATATCTCAATTATTACTATTATAATCACAAAACTGAGCTTTACAACTTTTGTTAAAGCTTAAAGAAAGGTTAACTTAGTAAAAAAATAACTTTTCATTGTAGCAGCACCAAATTGAGCTTTATTATAGAATTCATATTAAATTTGCTTCAACTTTTATTATGATACTAGTGCTAGCTACTCGCGGATTATCACTTAATTTAAAAACAAATAAAAAACAAAAAATAATAAAAACTTATATAGTTATTAGAGTTAGGGTCAGGTTAGATTAGATTAAAGTTAGATTAGAGATAGGGTAAAATTGTGAAAAAAGCATTTTTATTTAGTTACACAACAGGAATTGAATATGGCTACAGAAAGCCATAGCTATATATAAATTTTTACAAAAAAATAAAACAAATTATAGTATTAAATTAATTTTATACAGTAGCTAAAAATTTTTTTAATAATAGATACAAACAAGAATAGATTCTATTTATAAATAATAAAAATAAAGTAAAGGATTAGAAGAATTATATAAATAAAAAAATAAAAACAACTATAATGTAAAATATTAGCAAAAAAAACAAATAAACAAAAAAACTTAAAAAGATATACAGCCAAGACTCAAGTTACTTTATTTGCCAAAAATTCAAATAAAATATAAATAAAAAAATAGACTTCTTTATTAAAATTTTTGTGGTTTTTTTTTGATATTAAAAACTTTTTATAAATTAGAGTAAAAATACTAAAAAAAATCTTTAAAAAAAATAATATAAATCACCCAAAAGCCAATTCAAATATATTTATAAAGAAAATAATTACAGTAGTATTATAAAAAAAAATAAAAATAAAAAATACAGTATAATTTATATCAAAATTATTGGAAGGCCAACACTGCACTATAGTATAAAACCAGTGTTGGGCAAATTAGTGGTCGACCAAAAATTTACTGGTCAAATTGGTCAAATCAATTATATAAATATAAATATATATATTATATAATAAATTATACTATTTGACCAATTTGACCAGTACAGATCCTTTGACCAGACCGGTCAAATTGGTCAAATTGGTCTGGTCCAATGGTCAAACTGGTCTGGTCAAGCCAACACTGTATAAAACTATAAAAATTTTAAGTATATTTTTCTAGGATTTTATAAACATGTTCCTAGAGAAATAAAATAAATACATGGCATTATGAATTTATAAATTTTAATGATAATCGACTCACTTTCTGGTAAGTAAAATAAAAATATGCCAATTTCTTATTTAGAATCTTTGACATCAATAGTAATCTCATTCTCAGATTTTGCATCTTTTTTATCATTCACAGATTCTACACAGTTTTCGTTCTCTTCTTCTATAGATTTTATAGAAAACCTAGAGCGTACTTCGTCAAAAGATAAGTTTTTTCTTGCATAGAGAGCACTAATTTTACTATCTTCAAATGGTCGATTTTTATCGTTAAATACCCAATGGTCAACATCTGGTGGAACGTGATTTATGATAGTTTTGAGTTCTCGTTCGATAATTCTATGAATAAAAGATGAGTAAGATACTAATGAGGTTAAAATATAAGTAATTTAATTGATAATAATTATAAAATTCAATAATTACTTGCAAAAACCGTCCAAATCTAAATCATTCGGGTCATAACCAAAAGGATTTTCGATCTCTACAGCAATTCTTTCAATACCAAGCAAAACAAAACTAGCAAAGAACACGATAGGAATGGTCGACCAACCAACGAAAGCAACCAATTGAAAAGGTAAGGAGAGACAATAAATCCACACGGTTTGGGATAAATGAATAGCATATGCCAAAGGAATTGGTGTTCTCAAAATTCTTTCAAAAGATGACAAGCAATCTATCAACGTATTAACATTTTGTAGCATATTATTGGATAATGGTACACTGATCCTCCCTTCATCAAATTGAGTTGTAACATAATCAGAAAGATATATAGAAATCTCTAAAGGAAGATTGTGATTAGGTGAATCTAAATCAAATTCTTTTTTACCACGTTGATGTGGTTTTTTTCTGTTGTTATATAAATTTACAATTTTGCTCCATATCGATCCTTCTCGAGACTTGTTTTTTATTAACGTGTTCTCAGAAGCGTTCTCAATCGCGTCCTGAGCCATCAGATTTTCAAATCCCGGTAAAGCTGATTTTATGTCCGAAATATAAGGTTTAATATCTTTGCATTCATTTCCTTCCTCTTCACGTAGATAATGTTTTACAGCGATTGCAAATCCTATAAGTAGTCTTATGACGCTTTCCTTTTCTATCAGAATTTCTTTTTCTTCTTCATCTATCATGATTTCTTCATCTCTCGATTTAGTCTTTTGTTCTGTTTTGACTTCTTTCTTTTTTTTTAGATATTTCATTTTTTTATCTTCTTCATATGCTTTCTTTTCTTTTTCTGATTTCTTTCTTTTGACACCCACCCAAATGTATCGTGTTAAATTTCGAATCGCAACCACCATTGACGACCATGCTCTGCGACCTTCCCAATATCTATAGATTAAAAAGACGATATATCACGCGAAAAGTTACATGGATAAGAATAATTTTATCAAATATTAATTACCTATCATAAGCAGTATTAGTTCTATAGGTAAGCAAGAGGCCCACAACGAAACCAAGCACAGGAATGAATGTTTGCGGAATGCCAGGCTTAATATCTGTTTTGATATATACTGCCGACACAGCGGCCGCGAAAGCAGTAACAAGTAAGGTCTGAAATATAACATTTGGGGTAACAGAGCCCTTCCATCTAAGCACATATGGTAGATTATCTTCAGTGGAGGTATCTACCTGCTGACATTTTTCTTTTACTTTATATTCATAGGTCCCCATCCGAAATTATTAAGCGTAAAAGAAAAAATTCAATGAAATAAATGTAAAGAAACGAAAATTTTAGAATGCATATATTTAATTATGGATAAGATAATGTATCGAGTAATTCATTGTCTTTTATTGTCCTTCGTTTCATTGGGCGTCGATTTGAATATCCCATATACCATAATTGAATTTAGTTTGTCAAATATTGATATCTGTTCGTAACCATGTTTTAATTCTAATGTGGAACATATCAATACCTTTTTAATACTGTTATAAACGATCATTAATTTTATTATTTTGTATAAGTTAAACCGTTTAAATTTTACTGCATTAGGTCCTGGTAGCTGGTAGATTAATTTTAAACTTTTAGTCAAGAGAATTAATTTAACATCCCTAACTGGTCATTGTTCGTCTATTATAGTAACTAATGCGTAAAGTGTTGAAAAAACAGGATCGTGATGGTCAATTCCGATTAATGATAATTATAGAAACTTCTAATGCATAACATCGCTGCAAGTATATATATGTGCTACTTGGCTCTTATCTTATTGTTAATACGTACGTATTTGGTAAGTTATTACTTTATTGGGAGTGTTGTTTTCCAAAGGACGGAGAAACTTGCGAAAAATTCAAGCTTTTGCTTGGCATCATTCAGGGTTATTAAAAATATTTCAATCATTTATCGTTATTTATAGGAAAAGCCCCTTTTTTTGATGAATTTCTAATAAGAAAATGTCAATTTAAAGATTAGCACGATAATAGCTTTTTTTTGTACTGATTAACATAATTCTGATCATTCACACTTTAACTTGAAAAATCTGATCAGGGACCAGAGACGATGGACAACTCCTATTACCATTACAATAAGTAGGATATCTTAAACTGGTAAATTGATAATAACGACCAAAGATAGTGAGATTGGAAAATTGTTCTACAAAATCAATTGTAACATGTTATTTGTAACAACTTTACTCATAATAATAATTAATCAACGACACTCCATGTTACAATTAATATTACCAATTTTTTAATACCGATACGTATACGGTTTGTCTCCTCATGTTGTATAGCTTTACACAAAATACTGTGTCACATTTCCGACATTATAGTCTAGTCCCGACAATCATTTCCCCGAAAATATTTCTCAGAAGTTTCTCAGACACAACATTTCGTGGCGTGGCCAATACAGCATTTAGAGAGGGTGCACTTAGGGAGGTTAGACTGTAATTCGCAAACAAGGCTATTTTACAATCAAATCGAGAAAGGTACATTATTTTACTGGCAGCAGCAGCTTTATTTCACAGACTTATAAATTGCGCTAATCTTAACCCTACTTCTAAATAGGGATTGGAATCGTCAAAAATTATGCTGGTGATTAATCGCGTCGCCTAATTATAGGTTACACGATTAATCACGATCGTGTAATCATACGTATAATCGCTTAACCGTTTATTAATCGATTAATATTATTAATATTAAACATTTGACCGTTTCTTTTTATTGATCGTTTAATTGGTTAGAAATTTATTAATCGTCATAGTCGTTTAACCGTTTAGCTGTTTAACCATTTATATAATTGTTTAATCATACTCATATATCAATAATTATCCAGTATTAGCAATACCAAATATTTGCGTACATATATTGTTTATATTGCATTAGGGAGAGAGAATGTTATTGTTGTAACAACTACAGTATTAATTAACACGTTTTATGTCTCTATAATAACACCAGTAAAAGAAACCATCGTAATTGAAAATTATAGAACTTTGACTGCATACTCTGGATCATTTAGCACTGACATCTAAAAACTGGTATACTAAGTCTTCGCTCTTGTATTTTTGAAGATCGTGAGGTTTTAAAACGCACCTTCTACTTATATTACAAGTGTTTAAATCGAAGATCAGTATAACCAGTTAAGATCATGTGTACAACATATACACATATTCGTGTACGTACGTACGTACAGTACGTACGTGCCACAAAACTTCTCATTAGCATTCAACATATACTGTAGATATTTTATGTATGAATTTCGCACAAGTGTTAAAACATTTAAAACATTGACATCTATAACTTTAACTGTTCTTGGAATGTTGGATTATATAGAACTACAGTGCTTCACTATGTATATAGCACTCCTGAGAACTTTCAAGATAACCACCAATCTAGTTTTTTAAACCAATAATGATTATTGGTTTATATTCAAGAGGAGGAAGGACCTGTAGAGATATGCCATTTCAATATTTCACAAAGAATGTTGGGTAAGAGTCGCAGATATTACATAATATAATTTAATAGTGCTGACTCCCCTCCCCCCATGTAAGCATATTGTTAATCGGTCTTATTTGTCCGAAGGACTGTGTGTTAACAAATTCTAAATTCTGATTGGATAGGTCAGGTGTAACATAAAAAAACCAATCAAAACTAGTGTGACATAAAAAAATTGATCAATGGTTCCCATTTTCCTAGTATACCCCTTCCCCCATAAGGATATTGTGTAATATCTGCGGCTCCCCTAACGATCCTGTTAATTATCCCGAACAAAATAGTTTTAAAATTACATATTCTTAATGAAACTTTGATTTATACAGTTTGTTTTTTTACAGCTGATTTGAAAAATTAGTGGACACGTGATGAATTTTGTGATGATCGTCGGCAAATTTTGCTACCGAAATTGCAGGTAACAAAGGATACAGTTTTCGATAATATAATTTCGGCCGGTATATTGCCTCGTATAATCTTGTGTCGGCCGAAAATTATATTACACTTTTATTACCGAAAAATAATTATCGACGATCATCACAAAATTCATCACACTAAATAGGCTATTTACCACATATTTGTTTATATCTATGTGAGGTGTTAAGCGGTTACTAAACGATTAATTAAAAACGGGTAAACGAACAATTTAAAGGTTTTTAATTGTTTATAAAATTCCTTAATTGTTTAACCGTATAATATAAATAAACGGTTAAAGGCGGTTAAACGAATAATGGTACCAATCCCTACTTCTAAACAATTCTAATGCATTACTTTGTGTCGGTTAAATAAGTTGTGAGCTGTGATCTGATTAGTCGGGTTCAAATGTTGTGATCTAATTATAATTAATCATATTTAAACACCATGGTCTATAAAAATGTAGCTATCAATAGCTTAAATTGGGCAGTATGTACTGTTTTATTACTATATATTATGAAATATTACAAATTCTAATACTGAATATAAATAAGATCACAAAGTATCATTTTATATTAGGGTTCATTGTGGATCTATAAACCTAAGTCCTAAGTTAGGACTTGATTTTTTGAATATTAGGTCCCAAGACCAGTTCTAGAGTCTCGGATCCAAAGACTTTACCATCACTAGATGGTGATGTGTAAATTATGTGACTGTTACTGGACATGTAGAATAGATTAGTCGCGTAACCAAGATTTAGCATATTCCAAGTCAGAATGGATCGGAATTAATGAATTTTGCCTAAAATTACCAATAAACCTAGCCTACGTACTAAGATTACCCAGACACTAGTTTTGCTATACTATTGCTTAATGCCGGTCTAGTTCCGATGCATTCCGACCTTAAATTTTGGTTGCGCGACTAACACTAATCTATCCGAACGTGTACATATTTACACTGATCACTTATTACATGCGTATATATAGAAACCCTCTACGCTTTGAACAAAATTTAGTCATTGGTACATTTTGGCCGATTTGTGACGACTGGAATATCTTAGAGAAATTGCTTATAGATATGCATTTAACTCAGTATACCAAACCTGTGTTAATGATTATAACACTTGGAACAATCACTTTTAGAATTTCTGAATGTTATTAGGTAATAAAATATTTAGTTAGGCTAAAAAAAGAGTATTCTAAATTTACAAGTGAAGTCAGGTTTTTTATTTTAGATCATACACTAACTACTGTATAAATTAGTAATCTTATATATTAAATACTGATACGGGTACTGCAAAACATGTCAAAAAAATTGATACTACTTTTCTACTATAGTAAAAGGTAAGGTACATGTGTAGTTTTGCAGTTATAGGTAGCATTAGGGATTAGAATTAAGTTTTTAGGCAAATTGTCATTGCATTTGTAAAAGGTGAGCTTTAAAATGAGAAATATTCTGAAACAATTGCTTCTGTTTATAAGATTTACTGGTTCTAATAAAGAATCAGTTATGATTCTTCTTATGATAATCAAAATTCTTTGCATGATTGATGATTGATTATCATTTACAGGTCTCTTCTATTTTCTTGATGGCAAACTCTGTGGCTAAACGGAGAATAAATGAAGCTATTTTTTCACTGACCCCTTTGTTGCATATCGGCTGTTTAATTTGTATACTTATAGTTTGTGCTTTTTTATTACTTTTTTATAATAAATTCAGCAATTGAACTCATCGTCCATCAAGTAGCTTGAAAAAAAAAGATAAAAAAAAATCAATAAATAACAAAATAAATAAAAATAAAATAAATTTTTTGTTTGGTTTTGGAAGAGGATAATAATTAGGTCTTTTGGATTTTATTGTAAGGTCGGCATTTTAAGGTTGAAGAATAATAATATACAGTCAGACCTCCCTAAGTGCAACTCGTTGGGACCAAACTCTTGATAACATGCATTTAGAGAACAATAAGAAAAATTTTATTTAAGGAGGTCGGAAATATACTTGGGCCAGAATTTGAAGTTGCATTTAAAGAGGTATTGCATTTAGGGAGGTTGCATTTAGGGAGGTTGCATTTAGGGAGGTTGCATTCAGGGAGGTCTGACTGTACTTTCAATTTATACACTATTTTAATTTATTAAAAATAATAACTAGTATTATGGTATGATGTGTGATATGCTTTGGAATAATGAAATTATATACTATATATGTTGTAAGTGGGAGCATAATAACTCACCCTAATCTAATATTAATAATTTCAAAATTATATAAAGTTTATATTGAGGATTACTGTATTAATGAGATCAAATCAGTGCAACTTTAAAAATAGTTTGTAGACTAGTTCTTCAATATATCTATCGAGTGAGGTGGTTGAGAACGCAGTAATGAATATCTATTTATCTCCAATATTTACATAGAACGACCGAGTTGAAGAATTGATTGAGGATATGATATATCTTTACAATATTGCAAAGTTTCACGCCCACTAAATAAAATCCTTAAAAATAAAGATAACTGATTCGCTAGGTCATGTATATTAAATTTCAGGCCCAGAATAATTAAATAAATGAAAACTGGTTATTACGTGAACTCGTCTTGATTGAGCAATTGTCATGTGCTGTTTATATGGTAGCGATAGAAATTTTGCTTTCAAAGTGTGTGACGCAAAATTTTGTAACGATGTATGCACGTAACACCGCCTGCGCTCATTAAATGAAATGTTACAAAACATTATATTTGAAAATGTCTTCATTGACTTCTTTAAACCTAGAACTTTATGAAATCCAATCAAAAAGATGGCCTACTTTTGGTCGTCATATTATGGCACAATATGATGAATCTACAATAATTGTCTACCAAGCATTTAAACCCTCCATTGCCAATTACGCTGTTGAAAATCAAAAATTTGGTGGTCCAAGTTTTTCATGGTTTTATTTTTAATTCATTTACATTTCATATTTATATAATGCGTATTATTTTTAAAATCTTATAATTGTTTCTTTTTTGCTTATAGGGAGGTACGGGATTTTTTTTTTAAATATTATATATATATTGTTAGTAAATATCTATGTATTTATTTAATATGAATAAACTTTATTTTCAATAGAGAATGACATGGATAAAACCTAATTTTGCTTGGATGATGTATAGATCCGGATGGGCTACAAAAACAAATCAAGAAAGAGTAAATAAAATAACATCATAATTCTTCATTATGCATTATAAATTTGACATCAAAATTCTTTTATTGCTTTAGATTTTGGCTATTAGAATAACACTTCAAGGATTTAATACAATTCTTTCAAATGCAGTCGCATCATCATATGGGCAAGTCAAAAATATCTTCGTTAGTAAAGATGATTGGAATTTAGCGGTAAAAGCTTCAGATGTTAGATTGCAATGGGATCCTGATCATGATCTAGTTGGAAGAAAATTAAACCGCAGAGCAATTCAATTAGGTATTCGTGGCAAGTTTTTGGAACAATATTCAAATGAATGGATTCAAAATATTGAAGATGTTACCGAGTTTGTTAAAGAGCAACATAAATTTGTGGTTGAAGAAAAATTAGATCAAGTTATGACACCTTTTGAAACTGTTTACAATGTTCCAACAGATATAAGTGAAAGAATTGGGTTAGATATTGTAGAATAAAATAACTAATACTATTTCTATCCTTTAACCATCTAGCAGGCAAATTTATTTGCTAAAATTTTTGCACCTTTTTTTTTTTTTTATAATTAATTAATAATTAATAAATATATGGGTAGGTACACAGCAAAACCATGCTTTGAGACGAATTTCTTATTAGGAGATATCAATGATTGATCATTTTGATGCAATATTTGATATATATAGTTACCAAAAGCTGCGCACGATATTGTGCTAAATCTTAATATGTTAATGTGCAATAAAAATTTTACCATGAATAAATCACGCACTTGGGAATATAACTCAATAAAAATCTTAATTTTGGTTAAAAACTTTCAAAGCATGGTTTTGCTGTGTAACCCATATATAGGATTTGGAATTTAATTTTAGGATAAGTCTATTCGTAACAGCCTGTTACACGCTTATTTGTAACAGTTTGACCTATAACTCAAAATTTTACTAAGATAATCTTTTTTGCGCTACTAATGAAAAATGATCCTCTCGCGATTTTGTATTAATCTTGATACTAACTCTAAACCTAACCTAACACTAACCCTAACACTAACACTAACCTTAACACTAACCCAACATTAATAAACTGTTACAAATAAGCGTGTAACAGGCTGTTACAAATAGATATTTCCTAATTTTAATATTATAAAGATACAGTATTTATTAGTTTATAAAAATTTTTTAAAAATCTTACTTTATTTTTTATATCAAATTTTATATAGTACAGTCTAACCTCCCTATAATCACACCCCTCGAGATAAAGATTTTTGTGATTGTAATGAGAATTTTACTAAGATGTGCTTATAAAGAAGTTAACTTATTCCACTTACACTTATTTGGGAACCATCCCAAATAAGTCTTTCAGCGTTAAAAGAACAACTTACATTTAAGTCATATAACTATTGATAATAAATTTTATGTTAAAAAGGCATCTTTATTGTGTTTGAAAGGCTTGTATAATACAACAACATCATCTACAGTTTTAAGAACCTCTAGAACAAAAATCTGCTTACGTCTGCAATACTTAAATGCTGACCTGGTAATCCCAGCATTCCCAGCAACAAATCTAATATTATTTTTAGCAATAACACCTTCAATTAAATCATCTTGAACAACTTTTTT